GTTGATAGACTGTGGTCAATATGGTGCTGTTGATAAACTGTGGTCAATATGGTGCTGTTGTTAAACTGTGGTCAATATGGTGCTGTTGATAGATTGTGGTCAATATGGTGCTGTTGATAGATTGTGGTCATTGTGGTGCTGTTGATAAACTGTGGTCAATATGGTACTGTTGATAGACTGGTCAATATGGTACTGTTGATAGACTGTGTTCACGTTTATTTATTGCAAGATGCAAATGGATCTTAAATTTTAAAGAGCGCACTCTGTACCTATCTGGTGATTACGGCGTCTGCCACATTTCGTTTCATGCGACCACGTCACTGAGAATTCAGGAGTCCCAGAACTTTAAGCAAGTTTTTAAAATGTGCATGTTGCAATTTCATCCATTAAAATGTTTAAAAATAGATGAAGGAAAAAGCAAAAACATCACGAAAAGCTTTGCTGAAACGAAACTAAAAAAAAAATAATGTATTAGAAAATCATCAAATCAATACCAAACTTGTTTGGTTATAAAATCACAAATCTTTTTATTTTTAAAAATATTTTTTATTTCTTTGATTTGACAAGAGTAAACAGATCTGAGGGGCTTGTTTCCGGAGTCTTCCGGCTAGCAGACGACAGTGTCTGCGGAGGCCTGGCGTATCCAGGTCATCTCGCCGCGCGCCTCGCTGGAATCGATTCCAGTTGTCGTCTGAATAAAGTGTCGGTGACACCGCGGATTACTTCCGGTATTGGCTGTTACACGAAACTAAAATCTGTTTGATTTTTTTCCTTGGCATAAACTGAGCAAGTTTTGATTTTATTAATGCTATTTTTTTGTGACATTTTAGCTTTTGTTTGTTTTTATGCTATTGCACTTTTGCTGTAGATAAACTATATATATATATATATATATATATATATATATATATATATATATATATATATATATAGGCTATATATAGGCTATATAGGCTATATATAGGCTATATAGGCTGCATGTAGCCTATATTTAGGCTATATATATATATATATATATATATATATATATATATATATATATATATATATATATATATATATATATATAGGCAATATATATATAGTCTATATTTACAGTTTCTCTCTCTCTCTCTCTCTCTCTCTCTCAATATATATATATATATATACTAAAGTCTATATTTATAGACTAGTCTATATATATATAGTCTTATATATATATATATATATATATATATATATATATATATATATATATATATATATATATATATATATATATATATATATATATATACTTATATATGCATAGACTAATACATAACGTCTTAATATTTATACAACGTGTAAATTAAAAGTAAACAATAGTGGCTTAAATACTATTGAATTTAAAATCCTTACCCACAAAAATCTGCAATGTACAAACGTAAATCAAACCATATCAGTTTAAAAATTGTACTACTAACCAGTGCCGGCGCCAGGTTATTTAGCGCCCAATGCAATTTGCTAAACTTATTAAAAGCGCCCCCCCCCCCTCAAATTTTCAATTTGTTTTTCCAACCCATTTTGGCGCCCCCCCCCCCCCCCCTTACGGACAGCGCCCTAGGCGACCGCCTAGTTCGCCTTATAGTTGTGTAGCCTGTAGCACTTACATGTGGTGGTGTATCGTGTAGCACTTACATGTGGTAGTGGATCGTGTAGCACTTACATATGGTGGTGTAGCCTGTAGCACTTACATGTGGTGGTGGATCGTGTAGCACTTACATGTGGTGGTGGATCGTGTAGCACTTACATATGGTGGTGCAGCCTGTAGCACTTACATGTGGTGGTGCAGCCTGTAGCACTTACATATGGTGGTGCAGCCTGTAGCACTTACATGTGGTGGTGCAGCCTGTAGCACTTACATGTGGTGGTGCGGCCTGTAGCACTTGCATGTGGTGGTGCATCGTGTAGCACTTACATGTGGTGGTGTATCGTGTAGCACTTACATGTGGTGGTGTATCGTGTAGCACTTACATGTGGTGGTGGATCGTGTAGCACTTACATATGGTGGTGCAGCCTGTAGCACTTACATGTGGTGGTGTATCGTGTAGCACTTACATATGGTGGTGCAGCCTGTAGCACTTACATGTGGTGGTGGATCGTGTAGCACTTACATATGGTGGTGCAGCCTGTAGCACTTACATGTGGTGGTGCAGCCTGTAGCACTTACATGTGGTGGTGCGGCCTGTAGCACTTACATGTGGTGGTGCAGCTTTTAGCACTTACATGTGGTTAGAACTGGTTGCTTTTGTGGTTTTTGGAATGTTGGTGTAGGTGAGACCAAGTGGTCTGTGGTTAACTTTTGAGACCATGGCTACCCAACAGACTACCCATTTTTAGAACCACTGGTCAAATATTAAACCCGGCTACCCAACCACTGGTCGTCAGATATTTAACCCGACTACCCCACATTTTTAGAACCACTGGTCAAATATTAAACCCGGCTACCCAACCACTGGCCTTCAAATATTAAACCCGGCTACCCCACACGTCCACTATTCTGCTCTCACACCGTGTTCTCACACCGTCGGATTGTTTGACTCATCTCCGTGGCAACAGGCGACTGCACCCTGCCTCGACGTTGTATCACACCAGTTGCTTCCCGTGCGTGACGGCTGTAATTATCTGGCAAGTCACGTGATTAGCGGACATGATTTCCCCCCCCCTCCCCTCAGTTCCATTAGTTGGTTTTGATTTGGTTTTGGTGTTTCTGGAAATATTGTGAGAGAAGTAGAAAAAAAAACAAATTCCGCGGAGTTCGCTTAGTGCATTGGTTCTTAACCTGGGTTCGAATGAACCCTAGGGGTTCGGTAAGTCAGTCTTAGGGGGTTCGGCGGAGTTCAAGACACACACCCTAGTCATATGATTCACGTTCGTGGTTCGTCGGTGTGGACGATAGAACTATTGAACTGGTGGGGTTCGGTACCTTCAAAAATGGTTAAGAACCACTAGCTCAGAAGTTCAGTTTGCATCGATACACACACACACACAGACACACACAGACACACACACACACGCACTCGCTCACACACATACTTGCACTTTCTCTTACACTTGCGCGCAAGTACACACATACACACATGCACTCACACACTTTTACACTCATCCTACACTCACAGGCACACACACTGCCCCTCATTCAAGCGCGCACGTACACACACATATACTCACCCACGCACTCCCACATACGCACACACATGGTCATCTAATGACGTATTGCATTACACCAAGACAGCCACTGACGCCACTTAGAACACCTTACCTGCCCCGTTAAACAGCAGGACACCCAGCCCTCACCAGCCATCCATCACCCTCTCATCACCCTCCCACCCACAGGCCATCCACCAATCACCACCCACCATTTACCACCCACCAGTCACCACCCAACCACCAACCATCAACAACCATCCACCATCCACCAACCACCCACCAAACACCACCCACCACCCACCAGTCACCACCCAACCACCAACCATCAACAACCATCCACCATCCACCAACCACCCACCAAACACCACCCACCAGTCACCACCCAACCACCAACCATCAACAACCATCCACCATCCACCAACCACCCACCAAACACCACCCACCAGTCACCACCCAACCACCAACCATCAACAACCATCCACCATCCACCCCACCCACCAAACACCACCCACCAGTCACCACCCAACCACCAACCATCAACAACCATCCACCATCCACCAACCACCCACCAAACACCACCCACCACCCACCAGTCACCACCCAACCACCAACCATCAACAACCATCCACCATCCACCAACCACCCACCAAACACCACCCATCCACCACCCACCACCCACCCACCATCCACCCACCACCACTGTGCCACCATCAAAGTTCCACTCACTACCAACATGAGATTGCAGCGACTCTGTTCCCGACACGCCTGACTGACCTCGCCTACAGGACACATCCGACTGTTGCCAATTAATGACGCATCAATCATTTATATCTCTAATTTGTGGCGTCGTGTTGTACTCTTGCTTATCTGTACGTCTATGGTGGGTGTATATTCGTATACATGCTTGTTGGGGTGTGTACTTTTATGTAGATGCTAGGTCGTGCTAACACGTGTACAAGCTGGTACATATGGATGTGTACATTTGTGTACACGCTGGTTTATATGTACATTCTAGACCTCCCATGCCCATATGATCCACATATACACCAGACAATAAAGATACCCAAACTATACATTTATTTATCTCTCGTGTAGTTCAACAAGCCTCGACATAATTATCGCATCCTTTCTTGAATCACATCTTTTGTTATTTTTTAATGATTTAATAACATAGTTGATGGACGCTGTAGAATGTGGAAGAGACGGGGGTGGGGGTTGTATATGTCCCTATGTCCTGAATGAGCTTACTGTCATATGTGTAAAATAATGACAGTCCCCGTTTCCCCACCTCTTCAATCTAAGGGTGACAACCCAGTTGGACTCTGTGTGTCGCTGCTTGAGGCAATTGTTGTTTGGGAACACGGAATAGGTTCCTCCACGTCTAGCGCCCTCTAGGTTCTAGCAAACTCGGGTGCAAGGTTTTAATACAGGCTAACAGTCTGTTTCCTATAATCAATATACTTAAAGGTTATAATTTAAATGTTATTCAAGTATTTGCTGTTCAAGCGTAATTTGTCCAATACACCTGGTTCTAACTTATGTGAATGAATACATTGGCACATAATTTAAGCGATTAAGCGTTTTGCAGGTTTATATATATATATATATATATATATATATATATATATATATATATATATATATATATATATATATATATATATATATATATATACTATATATATACTATATATATATATATATATATATATATATATATATATATATATATATATATATATATATATATATATATATAAATATATAGTCAGCCTATATATACATAAATAAAACATTGTGATAATGATAGTATTGTGTTTATTTCACAGCATGCTCAACAACAGACGTGACCAATGCTACCCTACACAAATGTCTTGTCACGTTTTACCGTGATGCCGCCACGTGATCATGTGACAATGTCACGTAGCTGCGAGTAAACGTGACACAAGCATGTGAGGAGCTCCCCTGGAGTTTCTTGTGTTGTTTCGTCCTTGCCTCGCGCTCCCCCGCCCCTCCGTGAGGCCCCCCTCCGTGAGGCCCCCTCCGTGAGGTCCCCTCCGTGACGATGAAGGAGACGCTTGAGGAGGAGGATGAGCACGAGCCACGCCAGCACCACCGGCACAACAACCGCCACAGCAGCAGCAGCAGCGAGGTCATCACGCAGCACAGCAACAACGCGCCCCGCGGCACCACCAGCTACACGGACGTCAACAACGGGGCGCCGGTTCAGCTCAACCGGCTGCACCGCAGCAGCACCGACCCCAATGCCGGGGACGACGCCCCCCAGCACCCCCGGCTGACGCCCTACGAGCGCCTGTCCCAGGACTTGTCCAACGACCAGCGGGTCATCAAGGAGATCACACTAGGCAGGAGGATTGGCTTCTATAGGATCCGCGGGGAGATCGGCTCAGGCAACTTTAGTCAGGTCAAGATGGGCATCCACGCGCTGACCAAAGGTGGGTACTTGGGTCTGGTGGCTGGGGGGTGGCTTATGGGTTGTACTAGGGGTTGTCGTATGGGGTGTGTACATCTGTAGGCTTGGGTTGGCTTACGGGTTGTGCTAGGGTTGTGTGAGTGGTTGTCACATGGGGGTGTTGGTTGTGTACATCGGTAGGCTGGGGTTGGCTTACGGGTTGTAGTAGGGTTGTACGAGTGGTTGTCACATGGGGTGTTGGCTGGGGGTGATTTACGGGTTGCACCAGGGTTGTACAAGTGGGTGTCACGTGGGGTGTTAGCTGTGTACATCTGTAGGCTGGGGTTGGCTTACGGGTTGTACAAGGGTTGTAAGAGTGGTTGTCGTAAGGGTTGTTGGTTATGTACATCTGTAGGCTGGGGTTGGCTATGGGTTGTACTAGGGGTTGTCCAAGCCTATTGGCAGTTGGTAATGTTTATCTGTGGGTTGTGTAGGCCTACGAGTTGTACAGGGGTTTTACGAGTGGTTGTCAAATGGGATGTTGGTTGTGTACATCTGCAGGCTGTGGTTGGCTACGGGTTGTACTAGGGGTTGTCCAGGCCTAGTATTTCTTGGTTGTGTATTTGTGGGCTGGGGATGGCCTTCGGGTTGTTATAGGGTTGTACGAGTGGTTGTCATATATGGCGCTGGTTGTGTTCATCTGTATGATAGGGTTGGTTTAGGGGGGTTGTATTAGGGGTTGTTGGATGTGTACATATGAAGGCTGGGGTTGGTTTTCGGGTTGTACTAGAGTCTGTTCTAGTGGTTGTTCATCTTGTGTATCTGTAGGCTGAGGTTGGCTTAGTGGTTGCTGGTCATTAACATACATGGGCAAGGGTTGGCTTAGGTTTGTTTTCTGGTCTTCTTAGTGTAATGTTAGATTTTTTTAATGGTGTATTGCTACGGTGTTTGTGTAATCTAGGGTTGTCTGAGAGAGATATATCTGTTCTAGGCTTGCTAAAGTTTTGTTCTATGTTCTTTCCACGATTACCTCTTACATCCTAAAGGTGTCTGTACGATATAATGTAGCTTAACCTATGAATGTATATCAGGTAACATTTGATTTATCTAAGGGTTGGTTAACTATTGTTTTTGATACATATTTGTTGACTACTCTAACTCTCGTGGATAAATTAAATCTACAAAAAAAGAACAAATCAAATGAGCAAACCAAATGTAGCTCCAACAGCTATTACCTACCCCCTCCCCCTCCCCCACACACCTCGAGATTCGGTAATAAAGTACTTTAAAATCCTTTTTAAAACAAATTTAAGCACTTAATTTTTGAATAAAATATTTTGTGATTTAAATGTTTTTTTTCTCTCTCCCCCCCCCCCCCACTCTCACCCTTCTCCATCTTTCTATCCCCTATGTCAACAGTCGTCCGCCTGTAGCAAACTATTGCCAGACCCGCCTCATCACTGTACAAGAAGTTGTGTATACTTAAGTCCTACACATTGTGTATACTTAAGTCCTACACGTTTCATTTCTAAGACTTGCTCTGTATTTAGGAAACATTTACTTAAATAAAAAATCCATTCTGTAATTGTGTAAAAGAACCTTAGACTTACACCTCGTCCAATCAGATTCCGCGTGTGAAAGAACTGTAAGCCTCGTCCAATCAGACCTAAGGTTACATAGAGCAGGGCGTGAGGCTGTGTTTACTTTGTTTCATGTATTGACACACACTTTACGGGGATGATCTGAAACTGAAGGAGAAACTAGCATCAAGTAACTCAATACTAAGTAACTCAGCATCAAGTAACCTTGTACCAAGTAACCTTGTACCAAGTAACTCAGCATCAAGTAACCCAGGAACAATTAACTCAGCTTTAAGTAACCCAGTACCAAGTAACTCAGCATCAAGTAACCCAGGAACAATTAACTCAGCTTTAAGTAACCCAGTACCAAGTAACTCAGCTTTAAGTAACCCAGTACCAAGTAACTCAGCATCAAGTAACCCAGGAACAATTAACTCAGCTTTAAGTAACCCAGTACCAAGTAACTCAGCATCAAGTAACCCAGGAACAATTAACTCAGCTTTAAGTAACCCAGTACCAAGTAACTCAGCTTTAAGTAACCCAGTACCAAGTAACTCAGCATCAAGTAACCAGTACTAAGTAACTCAGCATCAAGTAACCTAGCACATAGTAACCCAATATCCGATAACCCAGTACCAAGTAACCCAGTACCTAGTAACCCTTCACAAAGTAACCCTACACAAAGTAACCCTTCACCAAGTAACCCAGTCTCAAGTAACCCAGTACTGAGTAAACCAACACCAAGTAACCCAGTCTCAAGTAACCCAGTACTAAGTAAACCAACACCAAGTAACCCAGTCTTAAGTAACCCAGTACTAAGTAAACCAACACCAAATAACCCAGTCTCAAGTAACCCAGTACTAAGTAAACCAACACCAAATAACCCAGTCTCAAGTATCCCAATACCGACCTGTACCTATTAACCTACTACTTAGTTCAAGCGAGAAGCAACGAAAAGTATAACCATCTATTTATAATTAATTTAACTCCTCAATGAAGTTTCTCCTGGATCTACCGTCCATACTACCATACCCTCTAGGCTTATTGGGGTATTCAGATTTTATTTCATTGATGGGGAGGTTACTCAGTAGTTAGAATAGCTCATCATTCCTCCCTCCGCTAGTTTGTTTGGACAGCCTCAGGGAGTTAAAATTGTGATACAGAGTTTGGTGGTTATGCTGGGGTTGGTAAAGTAGTAAGACTACGGTGAAGGCACACGAAGTAGAACATACAAAAGACGCAATAAGACTCATGCGAAAACTAGCTGCATAAACATGAAGATAAATATCTGACAAAAATTAGTCAAACAACAGTGACATAAAAGATGACAGAAAGTTATACGCAAAATGTAACGCGAAAAGTGTCTTAACCTTAACCCTAACTAGGGAGGTGGGGGTATTGACGGGGGGGGGGGGGGGGGTAATGTCCTGCTCCGTATATATATAAATATATATATGTATATATATATATATATATATATATATATATATATATATATATATATATATATATATATATATATATATATATATATATATATATATATATATATATATATATATATTATGTATGTGTGTGTGTTTATATGAATATGGGGGGGGGGGGGGGTGACATAGCTGAGAGACCACCTCTGGCAACAATCAATGAGTGTACCTGCACCTCTGCATCAGTCAGTACCACACACACACACACACACACAAACAGCAGGCGGTAAACACATTGTACTTTAGCGTTTAGCCTTTGATTTGATGGCATTAGTGGTTTATTTTAAAAGTAGAAATTCTATCGATTGCTCATTCTATCGTCTAGACCCCCTCGCTCCGTTTGATGCTATCGGTGTTGTTGTGGTCCCATTCATCTTGCACCTTCTAGTGGTGTTTACAACCGTCATTTCTTTAATTTACGGCCATCTTTGCGAGTTCTTTAACAGTGTTTCATTCAAACATTTTTCTTACGGGGGGGGGGGGGGCTGGAAGAAACTGAATATACATCCATCTTTGTGAGTTCTTTAACAGTTTCATTCAAATGTTTTTCTAGGGGGGGGGGGGGGTGCTGTGTTCAAAGCCCCGCTTTGGTCAAAACCCCTATGGTCAAAGCCCATCTGTGGTCAAAGCCCATCTGTGATCAAACCCCCTATGGTCAAAGCCTCGCTGTGGACAAAGTCCCTATGGTCAAACCCCCTATTGTCAAAGCTGTGGTCAGACCACCTATGGTCAAAGCCCCTATGGTCAAATCACCTGTGGTCAAAGCACCTAAGACCCTGAAAGAAACTGTTAATTTATAGTCATCTTTGTGAGTTCTTTAACAGTTTCATTCAAACGTTTTTCTAAGAGGAAGGTGGGGGGGGGGGGGGGGGGTGCAGGGGGCTGAAAGAAATTGTTAATTTACAGCCACTTCTTTTTTGTTTGAGTTTTCAGCTTTTCTCCAAAGCTGACGCAGTATGTCCGTGTAGCTCTCCTATAGGGAAGGGAAGTAATAATCTACTGCAGCGGTTCACAAGCTGTTGTACGTTTAGTTCTTTAGCCTAGGGGGTCCGTACAGTATTACTGGAAAAACAATGTACTGGACAACAATTAGGGGCCTACAGCTGATCAAGGGGAAACGAATTGAAATGGGCGATACAGGGGGTTGCAAATCGAAAGTTTGAGGGGGTGGGGGTGCAAATCGAAAGTTTGAGGGGGGGGGGGGTGCAAATCGAAAGTTTGTCCCCGGGTAAAAATTTGAGCCCCCCCCCCCCCAATGAGACGATTTTGGCTACGCTACTGACGTGAGAAATTGTATGGTGTTACCGTTGGCCAAGGTGTAATTTTGGTAAGGTATGGACTACGATGGTAGTCACGCTGGGACGGGAGCCGGACTTTTCCCCCCGAAAGATACTTGCCAGAATGCGACAAATGCAAGATTGGACCTTCGCCTTAAGTGTCGGGAGTTGGTGGTAGACCCACCTGGGCATATTGAATGAAGCAAGTTTAACATCAGATACTACAGTGACCACACCTAATGGACATAGCTAGAAATGACTGACTAGTTTAGTAACTACATTAACTTGTACTCTCAAATTTATATCAACATTTAAGCGTTTTCCGATATCCGGAAGTAGTACTTGACTCTATTCCGATTTCCAGTTCCTCAAACACCTTAAGAATATGTTAATTTTATAACATGTTCTTATAAAGCATTTACAAGTCTGTTGTAACACAGGTTTGTAAAGATCTCGAATTGATCCATTGAGTGTTGGGTCGGTCGTCATGTACGACGCATGTCACACAGTCACGTGTCTTTTCAGTTTTTCTTTTGCTGAAGAGTTCTAACGTAGGGCTATTGGGTTTTTTTCTTGAGAGAAGAGATCTTCTGTTGATAGTTGTCTAAAAATAGCTTGGTGGGTGTGAATACAAATAAAACAGCTGTTGTGTTTTACAGTCTTGGAATTCGTACACCTCAATGGAATTTGTACACAACCCAGGGAACTTGTACACCACCCATCAGGAACTTGTAAATACAGGGACATATACACTTATAGGGAACATGTACACCACACAGAGAACTTGTACACTATCCAGGGAACATGTAAACCACACAGGGAACTATACACCACACAGATAATATGTACACCTTTTAAGGAACATGTACACCACACACCGAACTGTACACCAAACAGGGAGCTTGTACACCACACAGGAACATGTACACCACACATGAACATGTACACCACACAGGAACATGTACACCACACAGGAACATGTACACCACACAGGAACATGTACACCAAACAGGAACATGTACACCACACAGGGGACATGTACACCACACAAGAACATGTACACTACACATGAACATGTACACCACACAGGAACATGTACACCACACAGGGGACATGTACACCACACAAGAACATGTACACCACACAGGAACTTGTACACCACACACCGAACTGTACACCATACACCGAACTGTACACCACACAGAAACATGTACACCACACAGGGAACTGTACACCACACAGGGAACATGTACACCACACAGGGAACTGTACACCACACAGGGAACTGTACACCACACAGGGAACTGTACACCACACAGGAACATGTACACTACACAGGGAACTGTACACCACACAGGGAACTGTACACCACACAGGGAACTGTACACCACACAGGAACATGTACACCACACAGGGAACTGTACACCACACAGGAACATGTACACCACACAATGAACTGTACACCACACAATGAACTGTACACCACACAGATAATATGTACACCTTTTAAGGAACATGTACACCACACAGGGAACATGTACACCACACAGGGGACATGTACACCACACAGGGAACTGTACACCACACAGGAACATGTACACCACACAATGAACTGTACACCACACAGATAATATGTACACCTTTTAAGGAACATGTACACCACACAGGGAACATGTACACCACACAGGAACATGTACACCACACAGGAACATGTACACCACACAAGGAACTGTACACCACACAGGAACATGTACACCACACAGGAACATGTACACCACACAAGGAACTGTACACCACACAGATAATATGTACACCTTTTAAGGAACATGTACACCACACAGGGAACATGTACACCACACAGGAACATGTACACCACACAGGAACTTGTACACCACACACCAAACTGTACACCACACAGGGAGCTTGTACACCACACAGGAACATGTACACCACACAGGGAACTGTACACCACACAGGGAACTGTACACCACACAGGGAACTGTACACCACACATGAACATGTACACTACACAGGGAACTGTACACCACACAGGAACATCAACACTACACAGGGAACTGTACACCACACAGGAACATGTACAACACACAGGGAACTGTACACCACACAGGGAACTGTACACCACACAGGGAACTGTACACCACACAGGGAACTGTACACCACACAGGAACATGTACACCAGACAAGGAACTGTACACCACACAGATAATATGTACACCTTTTAAGGAACATGTACACCACACAGGGAACTGTACACCACACAGGAACATGTACACCAGACAAGGAACTGTACACCACACAGGTAATATGTACACCTTTTAAGGAACATGTACACCACACAGGGAACTGTACACCACACAGGAACATGTACACCACACAAGGAACTGTACACCACACAGATAATATGTACACCTTATAAGGAACATGTACACACAGCTGACAAGCACACCACACAGGGAACATGTACACCACACAGCTTCTGCATTTCTATTGGCTGAAAAATATTCTGGGGTGATTGTGACTATAAATAGCAAAGACTTGATTTAGCTTTTAGCAGTGAAAGACCACTTTGGCACCTGCCTCCTCCCCTTTCCACCCCCCCCCCTTAAATCTGCCTGTGAATCCATGAGACAAGAAGACAACTGCTAACACAAAAATCAGGGATTAAAGACTTCCTGTTCAAGAGGGATGGTTTTTATATATTTATCCTATGTTAATGTTGCTCAAATTTAATTTCATAATGGCTCTTTTGTTACTTTTCTAAAAAAAACACGTTATGAAGTCTTTAATCAAAATAAACAATATTAAACCTTTCACTTTCTTAAAGATAATTTATAAAATTGTTTTTGGAAATCAAATAAAAATAACATTTTTGTTTGCATAAACAGGAGGAGGCAGGGTAGGGGATAGAAATGACGTAGGGGGGGGGGGAGAAGGAAGGATGGACGACTTTATGGTACGGTGTTGGACCATGTCTCTGATTTAGTTATCTTCTTTAAGATTGGTATGTTGTAGTGTGCTTGACTGATAATACTGATATGGCATACAATTCTAACATTATTATCTTCATATTATTACGTGAGGATAATTGTGTTATGGCTGTGCATTTAAGCGAACATGTAATTTGACCGAGTGGTGTGCCATAAATAGTAAAGGCTGAATTAAAAGCAAAGCTGTAATTGACCATAATGGTGTGCCATAAATAACCCACTCCAGCCATAAAGATGTTATCATATTGATATTTTATGGACTACAGGCAGGTACGCTGGCACAATTTACGCCTAATTGAGCTGGGTTTTTGAATAATTAAATTATCCATTCACCCATGTGGTGGTGGTGGGTGGAGGGGGGGGGGGGGAGTTGGTTAGATTGAACCTGGTAGGCAGGGGTGTAGTTTGTGGTGTTTACCAAGCATTATGGTTTGTTGAAAATAAGTAAACAAACATTAATACCCTCCCAATGTTAACAACCTCAAAGGCGGTATGAAGTTGACAAAATTAATTACTTTAACATGTTAACAAATTTAACTTAAAGACCTTCCTAATATTAACAAACTTTAACACTTTCTCAATGTTGAAAAACTAAAAGACCTTCTCAAAAATATTAAAGACCTCCCAAATGTTGACAAATTGAAAGACCTTCAAATATTGAAAATTTTAAAGACCTTCCTAATGTTTACAAATTAAAAAACCCTCCCAATACTAACAACTAAAGACCTTCCCAATTTTGACAACCTCAAAGGCCGTACAATGTTGACAGACTAATAGCTTTAACAAGTTAACAAATTTAACTTAAAGCCCTTCCCAATGTTGACAAACTAAAAGACCTTCACAAGAATATTAAAGACCTTCCAAATGGTGACAAACTCAAAGACCTTTCCAATGTTCAAAAGTTTAAAGACCTTCCTAATGTTTACAAATTAAAAGACCTTCCCAATAATGATAAATTAAAAACCTCTCCAATATTATCAAACTTAAAGACCTTCCCAATGTTGACAAAACTTAAAAGACCTTCCCAATACTAACAATTAAAGACCTTCCCAATGTCGATACATTAAATACCTTCCGAATATTATCACTTAAAAGACCTTCCCAATATTGACAAAACTTAAAGACCTCCCCAATGTTGACAAAACTTAAAAGACCTTCCCAATGTTGACAAAACTTAAAGACCTTCCCAATGTTGACAAAACTTAAAGACCTTCCCAATATTATCAAACTTAAAAGACCTTCCCAATGTTGACAAAACTTAAAAGACCTTCCCAATGTTGACAAAACTTACAAGACCTTCCCAATGTTGACAAAACTTACAAGAACCTTCCCAATGTCAACAGAGAAAGTGGCCATAAAAATCCTGGACAAGACCAAACTGGACCAGAAGACCCAGCGGCTCCTGTCTCGTGAGATCACTTCCATGGAGCGGCTCTACCACCCCAACATCATCCGACTGTACGAGGTCGTCGAGACCCTGGCCAAACTTCACATCATCATGGAGTACGCGGGGGGAGGGGAGCTCTTCACCAAGATCTCCAACGAGGGCAGGCTGCCAGAGGTGGACGCCAAGTGTTTGTTTGCTCAGCTGGTGGCTGCTGTAGAACATATGGTAATGTTTTTGTTTGTTACACTAAACACTACATTTTGTTTGTTACGTTAAACACTATATGGCAACATTGTTACGTTAAACACTACATTTTGTTTGTTACGTTAAACATGACATGGCAGCATTGTTACTTTAAACATTACATGGTAACATTTTGTTTATTATGTTAAACACTACATTTTGTTTGTTACCTTAAACACTATATAGTGATATTGTTACATTAAACACTACATTTTTTTTGTTACGTTAAACACTATATGGTGACATTGTTAAGTCAACACTACATGGTGACAATTTCCTTGTTATGTTAAACACTACATTGTAACATTTTGTTTGTTACATTAAGCATTACATGGTAACATTTTGTTTGTTACGCTTGGCCGAATGTTTTTACAAGCAATTACTGGTAGCTCACCTGTAAATATGTAGCTATTGATTATTTTTGTGCCTTGAAAAATTAATTAGTGATAATGGATGCATTAGTTACACTATACCGTGACTTCTAATCATTATACAATCTGCTGAAAGCATTTAGTTTTTTAACTAATAACAGTATAAGCCATAAGCTTTTCAATAGTTTGCTTTTCTATGCAGTATTGATTTTTTAAAACTCTGGTATGCCCTTAGCAATGTCAACTTTTAAAATGTCATTGAAAATTTCAGTTACAGAAATATTTCTGATTTACCCATTATTTAAATTTTGTTTCATATTTTTAGAGTTCATTAAAGATTTGAAATATTTAAACCCTGTGCTACCATTGCGGCCCATCATACTAATGGCTGTTGTATCAATATTTCAGCACGACAACAACATCATCCACCGAGACCTGAAGGCCGAGAATGTTTTTTACGCAAACTCCAGATGGATCAAAGTCGGAGACTTTGGTTTCAGCACGGTGGCTCGTACCAGCGAAATGCTGAACACGTTTTGTGGCTCTCCGCCCTATGCTGCACCGGAATTATTTAAAGACGAGCACTACTACGGTGTGTACGTGGACATATGGGCACTAGGCATTCTCTTGTACTTCATGGTGACAGGCCTGATGCCCTTCAGGGCAGAAACAGTGGCCAAGTTAAAGAAGTGTATCTTAGAAGGTAGCTACAGTGTTCCCTCGTATGTCTCAGACAGATGTGTCTTTCTTATACGCAGCATATTAAAACACATACCCCAGGACCGGTTTACGATAGCTGAAATCAAACGTAGTGGTTGGCTCGAGGGCCAAGATTTTCCTGGGCCACTCGAGCCGTACAATCTGACACCGAGCTTGGATATTTCTGTGATAAATGAAGAGGAGCGCGAGGCGAGGCTCATTCTGAACAACCTCGGGATAAAGGAGGAGCACTTCAAGCAAGCCAGCATTAGGGACTCTCGCAGTAGCATCACAGGGACGTACAGGATTGTGCTGCACAGGATTCAGAAGAAAAACTCTGGCATGCTGGAGACCATGGTGGACCCCGTCATAGAGAAGAAGGAATCTAGTTCCAACTCGGTGCTGGAGAGGAGGAAAAACAGGCGTGTCACGCCTTCCAACAACGCCGTGTCGGTCGGAGGCCGACCCCAGTCAAAGACGTGTTGTGTGTTATGATGATACCTGGTGTGTGTGAGTACACACTGGGGTAGCACACGCAGGGCGAGAGCACACCTGATTTCTTCCATAAATTCTACAGACTTTGGCGCATGTGATAGTGCTGAGTTACCTGTTACGTCTCATACAGCGTACATCATGATGTTCTTCTCACTGATGTTCTAGTTGATGATGTTTAATCATCGTATTGTTTTAAATTCATTCTAAAGGATTTTACATTTTCTTAAACAATATTGTACATTTTGAAGGAATATCACATGTTTTGAAGGATATCACATTTATTAAGGTTATCCCATTTTTTAAGGATTTCACATTTTTAAAAACAATATCGCGTAATTTGTAGGATATCACATTTTTGAAAGGCTATCACATACCTGAGTGTTTCACAAACAGATCTCATCCAGTACTGTTTGAATTAAGCACCAGTAAAGAGTATGTTGTTATTAAAAGTATCTAAAATAACATATGACCCAGTTAATATTTATGCTGTGAAAATATAATTTAATTATTATTGTCATTCTTCCATTAGAAAAAGATTTGAAAATTCTGAGGCTGGATTTAACTGAAATAATTAGAATATTGATCCTGAAAAATTGATTAGTTTTTTGATGGATGCCTTACATTACTGCGGACAATTAATTTAAAAAAAATAAAACTTTGTTGGCTGTAATTCTGGCTATTGATTTATCTGATGTTGAGGAGGGACCAGACTGATGTTACATTCTCAGCTAATTAGTTCATGTGTTGATAGTGTTAAGATTGTAATTGATGTGCTGGACACTCATGATCTTTGCTTAACCATCTTAATTCAACGCATGTTGATATTCTCAGTCACTGTTGATCTATTTTGATCTGATTTATTTGTTTGTCAATCACTGTTGATCTGATTGATTTGTTTGTCAGTCACTGTTGATCTGATTGATATGTTTGTCAGTCACTGTTGATAGATTTATATTTCTTCCAAACACTGAAACAGTTTTTATGTGTTTATTTTTGTGTCATGAACACCGTAATAATTTACAGTATTGTTGAATTATATTCATAATAATGAAAATACAAAATTTTTTTTATTGTATTATAATGTGCATAAGATTATTCACGTTTATTTTAAAAACATGTGTAAGAAATCGTATACAAGATTTTCACAATATTATTGCCCATGAACTTAGTTAAATTAATTAAGATATCTTCATTTCCATTCCAAATCTATTTAAAGCTTATATCCAATTAGTTGATTAGATAGCATTTAGTGGAGTAGGCAGGGGTAGATAACAGGTGTTGGAACCACCATCCCCACTCAACGACCCCCAAAATAATTTTCTTATTTTAAATTACATTAATTAGCAATGGCATACTTGTGCTGCTTTCAACGCTTTTAGTTTTAAAATAAAAAAAAACAAAAACAAAACACAAGCATGATTGTTAATAAATATCCACATGAAAATTTTTACCCCCTCTTTGATAAATTCCTCCTGCCTACTCTACTGCAGTTACTCTAAATCATTATTTAAAAAGTAGTCTTTCATATTTCAAGTATTGCCACACAACTGACAAACTGAACACCTTTTATTTAACTTATCTGATCACCATTGGACCAAATGTTTGAAGAAATAACCACACACACTGATGTTAAAATTAACCTGTTATCCTAAAGGGATATTTCTTGTCAGTCTGTTTTTGATGCACACAAGGTCCAATTAATTTCTCTAATCACGTGTGATAATTGGAGCCTCGCTTTGATCTAGTTTTAAGCATTTAAAAGTTATAAAAACATGAAAACAGTATTAAATTAAGTGTATTGTGATGTAGAGTATGATGTGTGTAGCTTTCATGTGTCTAAATCTAAATTATGTTGTGCGTGTGAATTATGTGGTGTTATGCTTGTCAAGTTTGAAGTAAGTCTGTAATCGCAATGACAAAGTAGATGGGGGGTTGGGGGAGTAGCAAGCACAGGTAAATTTAATTTAGGTATGTTTAAAATCAACAGGTAGTTGATTTATTTACTGAGATCCCTATTTATGTTTGCCCTGGAAATAATGTTGTTGCCACACTCTACATCACCTACATGTGGGTGAACACAATCTCTGAAAAAGTTTTGTTTTTATTCCAGAATTAAATGGGATTGTATTTTCAAATAAAAGATAAATGCTTTTTTTTTTTTTTTAAATGAATTATAATTTCATAAAATACTTATTTGAAGGGATACATCTTGTTTTATATATAGCAATTTCATAAATGATTTTTTGCATTCTTGCCTAAAATACTAAATTTTATTACAAAAATACATTTTTTAAACTAAAAAAGCAATGTTAACATACATGTTTATTTAAAATAATTGTTTTAGAATCCTTCCATGTTTTTACAATTTTTTAAACTTGATTTACACTTTTCATGTACTGCAATACATAGAATTTTATTTTATGTGTGGGTTTTTTTGTTCACTAAAAAATTTTAAACTGCAAGGGTTGAACATTGTGTTGTTAGTGTACAGTAGTTTGAGTTTCTGACTGCTAGAGGTGATGTTTCAGCATGGTGGGAAGGAGGGAGAAATCTGCTATAAAGTAGTCAGACAGCTATAAAGTAGTCAGACGTCATTTTTGAAGGACTTGTGACAAATCTATCACATAGAAATAGTTCTTCTTTCAACGTAAGTTTTCCATTTTTATTCTGAATATAACAAATATTTAAAAGATGGGGGTTTGTCATGAATTTTATAAGTATTTCAAATTCTATAGATGTGATATGTTCATTAGCAATTTTACTGCAACTTTTATTTTTATACTCACAATTAAAAAATGTACAAGCAATTGACAATGCAAATTATAAAAATTTTTTTTTTGCAATAGTGTTATCAAAATTGATTGGTTTGTTTAAAGCAATACATGTTTATAAAATCAAGTGTAAAAAGAACTTTTAAAAATGAAGAACAGATTTTATTTGAGAGATGAAATTAATCTTAAGATGAAATAGACTTAAGGACAGGCTGTAAGATTTTATGTAAAGTGTGATGTTAGCTTTATAAGCCACAGTAGAACTATTTTAACCCCTAAGTTACTGTAGAACTATTTTAACCCCAGCTACACAAGTCACAGTAGAACTATTTTAACCCCAGCTACACAAGTTACTGTAGAACTATTTTAACCCCAGCTACACAAATCACAGTACAACTATTTTAACCCCAGCTACACAAGTTACTGTAGAACTATTTTAACCCCAGCTACACAAGTTACTGTAGAACTATTTTAACCCCAGCTACACAAGTTACTGTAGAACTATTTTAACCTCAGCTACACAAGTTACTGTAGAACTATTTTAACCCCAGCTACACAAGTTACAGTACAACTATTTTAACCCCAGCTACACAAGTTGCAGTAGAACTATTTTAACCCCAGCTACACAAGTCACAGTACAACTATTTTAACCCCAGCTACACAAGTTATTGTAGAACTATTTTAACCCCAGCTACACAAATTACAGTAGAACTATTTTAACCCCAGCTACAAAAAGTTACTGTAGAACTATTTTAACCCCAGCTACACAAGTTACTGTAGAACTATTTTAACCCCAGCTACACAAGTTGCAGTAGAACTATTTTAACCCCAGCTACACAAGTTACTGTAGAACTATTTTAACCCCAGCTACACAAGTTACTGTAGAACTATTTTAACCTCAGCTACACAAGTTACTGTAGAACTATTTTAACCCCAGCTACACAAGTTACAGTACAACTATTTTAACCCCAGCTACACAAGTTGCAGTAGAACTATTTTAACCCCAGCTACACAAGTCACAGTACAACTATTTTAACCCCAGCTACACAAGTTATTGTAGAACTATTTTAACCCCAGCTACACAAATTACAGTAGAACTATTTTAACCCCAGCTACAAAAAGTTACTGTAGAACTATTTTAACCCCAGCTACACAAGTTACTGTAGAACTATTTTAACCCCAGCTACACAAGTTACTGTAGAACTATTTTAACCCCAGCTACACAAGTTACAGTAGAACTATTTTAACACTGTAGCACACTTGTTTACCTACTCCAGGATTTCTTTCACTGGGGCTATGAGCATGTCTTGGTGATTGAAGTTGGTCTTTCTCAGTGTGTTTTATAAGCAATAGAACAAATCTATTCATTTCTCCACAGCAATCTACACACTTTAATTTTGTAATTCTATTCCATTAAGCATTTTAAGTAGATGTGACTTGATTTTACACAGATAACACAATCAAAAGCTTTTTAAAAAAAAACATTTGCTCACAGCTTCATTAATAATAAATAAGTTGTTTCATTATTTTTTTCATTAGATGCAAAGTTTATTCTATGTCACTTCAAGATTTTAAGTCATTTAGCAAAAAATGAATTTAATGAAGTCATAGTGATGCAGATGTTGTAAGAGGTAGTCACATTTACTCAATAGTTCATAATTCAAACAAGAACTGTTGGGGAATTATTTTAGCAATATGACTTTGTACCCACAGATCCTGTGTTGTATTTGTCTGGCACAATGTAATAATAGATGTTTTTATTTTTACAATTTTTGACAATGTACAGCATTTTATTTCTAAGACAAATTTTATCAGCTGTGTTTTTAAAAATACACTTGTCTTTTCTAAAAAAATAAAAAACAGCATCATTTTGTTACTGCTGTGAAATCTAAATGAAAATATAAGGCGGGGCCTTGTCAGAAAGATCTGTACAAATTATCACTTAATTAATTTTAAATTATAGAGAATTACTTTTTTAGCATATACAAAATTTACATATTTAAAAACGTTTTTGATAATTTAATTTATTAATTAAAATGGAACATCATATTTATTTAAAATGAATTAAAATTTTCATAATATTTGAACATTTACAAAGGTATACAATCCTACATTCTAGTTATCCACAGCTAGGAACCACAACTCCTCCACATCTAGTAACCAGAAAGGGCCGTCCATAAACTATGCCGCATTTTTATCCCCTCCCCCCACTCCCCCATTAATTTAGCCGATCACCCCCAATAATTCCTGATTTATTTTCGCGAAGGGACATAACCGAGCTAAGGAGATCTTGCAGAAAATTATTGAGTTGGTTCCCTTAGCATCTAAGCCCTTTTTCCATTTCTGATCGCTACCATTTCCGAAAACATTAATCGTTACTTAATACTGAAAAAAAGTATTTAATAAATGCAAAACAACTGCTAAAGTTAAGATTGGAATACATTTTTTTAAATACAGAAGTGTGTCATTTTCGGCCCTATTCCCAACGCCAGGAATGTGACGTCATTTACTGATACCCCCCCCCCTCAACTGCGTTTTTAAAAGATCACCAACACAATGTTTAGATCCCATAGAATGAGCTAGTCAAGCAAATATTATTGGTCAGTTCTAAATGTCTTCACCATAACCTGTTGGTTGTTTGTTATGTTCATCTGTTAGTAGGCCGAGCTGTGATAGGTTCCAATATGTGTCCATCATTACCTCTCTTTCACATATAACATTCACATATATTGTATGTCAGTCAGAGCCTTTATAAATTGTAAACGTTTGAAATATGTTTTTGTTTGTTATTAATTTGTTTTTATTGAAATAAAAAATAATTTATTAACATGATAATTAAATAAGTTGAAGTTTCTATAGCTGTTTGAAATTTTTGTGGAATGTAGGTGTTTTAAAGAGAATACATTTTTGCATTATGTAGTTTTTATTTGATTAAACAGAAACTAAGCAGTAATAAGCAGTAATTTAATTACACATTAAATTTACATAAGCTGATGTACCTAAAGCTGTGTGTGAATTTGTTAAATGTAGAAGTTTAAAACTAAAATATAAATAATGTTTTTATTAGAAGCTGATGTTTGTTTACAAATTTTTAAAAACATTTAAAAATAAATTTTTTTAAAATATTATTTTTGAAGTAACATCTTTTATTTAACATACAAGTTTAAAAACGTTTTAAGATAATACATATTTATATTAGTGTTTCATTTGAGGAAGATGTTTTTAAAAATTTTTAAGTAGTAATTATATAAGTATATTCTAAAATATTCTTTTTGTTTTTAAATTCCCATTCTGCTGAAGGTTGAGTTATATTAATGTGATACTTTTAATTACAAAATTTGTACTTGGAACTTCTGATTGACAGAGATAGCTGTAATTGTTTTGTTATTTTTGTTCCTGTGAATGTTTTGTGTTAACCAAGTGTACATACATCGGTTCTTGCATAATGTTTTGACCCTTCAACTTTGAATAAATTGCTGCAACACAACTAACTTCAATGCTTTGATTGATTGTTTGATGTAATTACTTACTTATAGGGAAAAGGCTGTAAAGATTTTGTATTGTACATCATTAACATAAGATTATTATTTTTAAGTTTTGATGAAAGTTTGCCGGAGAAATTTTATATAAACCAAGCATGGTCCTGCTAACTGGCAAGACTGGACAGTAGTGGCCAACCAAACAAAACTGGCCCTCTGGCGACCGAATGTTAAACATCTCACTTGCCTCTTTACTAATTAAGCAGTAAACATTAATGAACCTTTTACATGAGCTTAATATTTTATTAAATATTTAACAAATCAAAACATAAATGACTGGGAAAACAAAGCTATGTTATTTACATTTTTTACGAGACAACGCTAACGTTAAGCAAAAAGAAAGTATTAAAAATATTTTCAAATTTTATCAAGGGAGGTAATATGTATGTTAACATCATTTAAAAAAATAAAATGTTGTCTCCCTTGACATTTAAACTATCGTTCATGAAAAATAAAATAACTATTTTATTTTCTAGCGCATGATTCAACTTAATGGTGTATATAAAATTGTAGATGAAAGTAAAGTACTACACTTCTATGAGAGCAGTTTTCGTCCAGCTGGACTGGTAACTAAATCAATGTATTTTATCAATGTTCTTTAAAATCACTTTGTATTCCTACTGTCAGGTACTTATCATACTACCTATCGAGTACCTACAGACTCGGGACTTTCGTGACAGCAGTCGAGCGCTCTACCACTCGACCAGCCAGAATCTCAAAGAAGTTCTAAATTCTTTTATTTTAATATAAGTATTTTTAACGTGATGAGACAAGAGGGGGCTTTTGATTTTAGTAGCGTCAAGTTCTGGGGGATTCACATTTTCTGTTCACACATTGTTGATTCAGCTCTGATTAAGCTTAATTGACAAACAACAGACGCCTCGAAGCTAACATTATAGAATCTCGCGACTACCATTAATTATCTGAGCTGCCGAGAGGCGTAGCGATCCCTCCCGGCGCCCGGCGACAAACTTTCAATTTGGCGCCCCCTCCCCCCCTATATTTTTTGTTTATAATTCAAAACTGCAGCTAAAATGAGCTTTTAATTTTTTTGTACAACCCATTTTGGCGCCCCTAGGGTCGGCGCCCGGGGACATATATACCCACTACCCCTTCGTTATACCTCTGGAGCAACCACTTACCATTGACAACCATCGTCTAGCTAATATCAAGACGTTTACTCAACCCTAATTTTGATTAAAGTAAATATAAGTAAACTATAAGTAAAGTTCCATGACTGTCTATGGGGCAAGGGAAGTTCATCTATTTCTGTGACCTAACGTGAGTTGGGTACCCATCAGAGCTGGGTGGACTCAGGCGTTCATCTGACTTCGAACTCCAGACTTTCGAGTTAGCAGTCTAGCTCTCTACCTCTACGCAACTCCGTCCCATATATGTGTGTAGTTGGTTTTTTTCTTTTGTGTATTAGTGTACAGCGTATTTCTTTTGTGTACTCGTGTACATAGTTTTTCTTTTGTGTACTCGTGTACATCGTTTTGTGCCTTCTGCTTGGGAAGAGCATCAAGTTATTCTGTCTTAGAAGTTGAGAGGTGATATGGCTAAAGTGGGGCATATAGCAAACACATATCTTGGACTTACATGTAGTATGTAATACATATAAGAATGTATGTAGTATGTGGGGCATACAGAAATCTGCCTCATATTCACAAAATCATTTTTTTTAGTAAAAAGATAAATAAAAATAAAAACTCAAATATTTTGACATCAATTTTTATTCACACAATTTCCAATAAATTTAGCAATTTTTGTAAACACATCAAAATGTGATCTTCATCAACCCGTAGAATTTATCAACAAACATGTGATGTGATTTTCACATAAACTTTTCAACCAATCATCTTCTTCCACATTCAACACATATAGTCGATCACGTGTCATTGTTCACGTGTCACTTCAAACTACCCCCTCTACATTCAACTACCCGCTATATCATTTACAACAAACAATTATGCTTTGATATGAACTTCAAACAAGTTGTATACATACAAAAAATTAGCTCAAAAAATTAAATATTATGCTACAGTTTATTCGGCTACACTGATGCAATCCTTGTCAATCACTAGCAGATGATTGTTTTATGATTGTTGCCAGCATCACCGCCCCAAGTTCTGCTAACTTGGCAAAATTAACACAGTCACAATCTATATCAAGAGGCTGAACACAACTCACCTATAAAAACACCAGCGATAAAATTAGAAATTTATCGGGAATTCAAAACATGTATCGGGAATTCAGTGTACTGTTAAAATGGTACATCTCCCAAGGCCAATTCTATAACGTTTTTTTCACAACAATTTTAAAATAAACAGATTGTAACGTTGACTTAATTAATATACAATTAAACACAATGACAACATGCAATAATAAAATATTTAAATATAGTTTGGTATTTTATTTTATACCACTTCGTACATTTATTCATGGGTTTTAATGGCCTACTAACTAATCATTACGTTGTAATAGCGCAATAATAATCCAATAATTAAAATTAGATTTTAGAGTAATTTATAAAATGATGAGCACTTTGCTTTTAAAATATGTACAGTAATTACAATTTAATTAGGTCCCAGAGAGCAAAATATCATCTGATTATATCATCAGTATAGTACAAAAAGCACTTTTGGAAAATATTTCAGTTTTATAATGAAAAAAACGGAATACAAACATACTATTTTTAGCATGGTTATGGTGAATGGACGAGCATATGTGGAAACTGGACATTGGTGAATGGACATGTAATCGATTGGTCAGATGGTTGATTGGTCAAGTAAAGTGCCAGCTCATGTCATGTTAGAGTTAAGGTGTAATGTAAGACTTTAAGGTAAGACTTTAAGGTAAGATGTAATGTAAGACTTTAAGGTAAGACTCTACAACAAGTCTCGGCAAGAATTTGAAAGAATGATGTCAAGAGCAATTAGATGGGAGGGGAGCAGAGTAGGAGTGTCAATGGTAGAGGGGTGTCCGTGGCAGAGGAGTAGGGGTGTCCATGGTAGAGGGGTGTCCATGGTAGAGGAGCAGGGTGGTAGAGGAGTAGGGGTGTCTATGCTAAGGCCAGCTAAGGGAGCAGTACTGGCTGTTTATAGTAGCAACATCAGACGACTTGTTTCAAGACAACTACAATAATAACAGCAAGCAGACCAGCTATTGGCTGACTGAATATCAAGCAAATTAACGTTCATAGATCTAGCGTAAACACATGCGTCATCAACACAAGCCAGTTTAATTCTTCATACATTTGGCAGTGTTTACACATGTACACTGCTTACACATGTACACACTTTGGCCGTGCTCAAGTCATGTACACACTTTGGCAATGTTCTGACACACGAGTTGGCAGTGGTTTAACATAAAGTCCAGATCACCTCAATGGTGTGTAGCTATTTCTCAACAACACCACCGTTCTAATCTCACAATTCTAATTGTCAAAATTCATTGTCACGACTCTGAGAGAACCTCAGTGCTCTGCTACGTATTAGCCAGATTTCAACGATAAATATCAATGTTTCATAGTGGCTTGTACCAATAGTTTCTTGAGTTTAACTTCACACACGCATCTTTAGAACAAATCCCACTTTTCTGGAACAGCCAATGATAAATACCACTTTTCTGAAGCAGTTAATGATAACTACCACTTTTCTGAAGCAGTTAATGATAAATACCACTTTTCTGAAGCAGTTAATGATAAATACCACTTTTCTGAAGTAGTTAATGATAAATACCACTTTTCTGAAGCAGTTAATGATAAATACCACTTTTCTGGTACTGCTAAAGATACAACCACCACTTTTTATTTTGGAACAGTTTATGGCCCTGCAGTTCTAGAAAGCCTTCACGACTCCGAGCTGGGTTCCTCTTTGATGCCTTGTTCCAGACGCTTCTTCTCGATGAGCTCCCTCAGCTGTTTCATCTCCTCCTGCAGGCTGTTCAGCTCATCCCTCAACTTGCTGTTCTCCGTCTCCAGGTAGTCGGACTTGGCTTCGCGGATTTTGGTCAAAGTTTTTCGGTTCTCCCGACATTTGCGAGCCGCCTCGTTGTTCCTACGACGGCGTTCTAAATATTTTGGGTCCAGGTATTTCGTGTCCGTCGGGTTCCGACGAGATCCGACGCGTTCTTTCCGGTGGCGGTATATTGACGGGCTGTCGGATTTGACGAGGGAGAGAGGGTTGGGTTGGGTGAGGGCCATGTCGGAGAGGTGGGCGAGTCCATTCATGAAAGGGTGAGGGGTGTAGGATGAAGGGGTGACGGCTGCCGCCGAGGCCAGGTTGGGGAATAAATCTTTGGCGTAGGTGACGTCGTGTTGAGGAAGTTTGTGGCGGAGTTTCAGGGGGAAGGAGGAGGCGGGCGGGCTGATGGATGACGGGAGTTTGTCGCAGGGGGTGGCGCTTTGCTCCGAGTCCATGCTGCTGTCGTCTTGAGCGTTGTGGCTGTTGGCGCTGATGTTGCTGTCGCGTCGGACCGTCAGCTGCAGCGGCTCGTCGTAGTTGTCGTCACTGCTGTGGCTGGAGAGGGGCGAGCGCTGGGCCCAGTGGGAGACGTTGTCATAGCAACGCGGGAGGTAGTGGCTGGGGTTGGCCGGGGAGTTGGGGTAGTGGTGGTGGTTGAGCTGAGAGTTGTTTGGGCTTAGAGGAGACCGGTACTGGGCGTAGTTGCCGACGCTGGCCCGGCGGAGGAGAGAGGCGTCTGGAGGTTCAAGAGGGAAGTTGGGTCGACGTTCAATGTTGCTGTTGCTTCTCTCCCGCGGGCGGATCTCGCCTTCTTCTATGGGGTCGTGTTTGAGCATCTCAAGATTGTAGGCCTGCTGGTGGTTCTGGCTGGGGTGTTGGTGGTGGTGGTGCAGGAGATGGTGGGCGTGGGCGGGTGGTAACGGTGACGGCTTCATCCCCGTTTCGTGGCGAGAAGGCTCCGGCAGGAAATAGGGCCGGGTGTTGTTAGAGTACATGGCGACTCCCATCTGCATGGCGCCTGCTACGGACAACAGAGGGGGCGGGGAGTTGTACGGCAGGGTCACGTGTGGGGCGTGGCTGCTGGGGTTGATATGTGGCGACAGCTGATTGGGCGCCGGGGGAGGCGAATCGTTCATACTACGGGAAGTGTCCTCTTCCGGGGGTTCCTGCGAAAAGCTGTCGGGCAGGAATTTTTTCTTGAGCGCAAGCAGCTCTCGGCGCAGCTTGGTGTTGTCGTCCTCGAGACTGTTGATGCGGCCCTCTAGGACCATGTCGTGCATCCGGCGCTTCTCTCGTGACTTCCGGGCCGCCTCGTTGTTTTTACGTCTCTTCTCCCAGTACAGGTTGTCTTTCTGCTCGTCGGGCACGAATTCCCGGAACCTAAAAATAGCATCGGATTTACCGTTAGCGTAGTGTTGCGATTAGATTTTTTTACATTTATGTATGGCGATGTATACATGTTTGGAAAAAATTGGTGTTTAAAAAAAATCATAAATTAAAATATTTGATATCTTAGTCTTAAGACACTTAATGTTAAGATTATATTAAGTTTAGGATTGGATTAAACAGAGCAAGAAGAAGGGCCTACCTTCTATTTCCATCAAGGCCCATAACGCTGGAGGAATCAGAATCACTGTTGTGTTGTGTTTCAGGGTTTTCGGAATCTTTATACCGCTGTGCCGGCTGTTGGTGGGCCGGCTGTTGGTGGGCTGGCTGTTGGTGGGCTGGATGGGCAGTGGGTTGGTGGGCCGGGGGTTGGCTCTGCGGCTCGGATCTGTACTGATGGCTCCCTGAGTGGGGCGACAGTGAAGATGGCGACTGCTGGGGGGAGCTATGCCCCGAGTGGGCTTGGGCCGCAGAGGCCGGGGGGAGCTGTTCGCTACAGGGCGCGGGGGGCGCCTCGGAGCCGTGGGTGAGGGAGAGGGGCGCCGGTCCATGAGAGGGCGGCGGGGAGCTGCGTTTGTTGGTTTTGTCCTTGGCGTCACCTTCTGTGTACATCCTGGAGTATTTGCTCAGGTCTCTAGCCTCGGGGTATACCTCGGTTCTGGGGAGGTCAAATATCAAGTTTAGAGGGGTGTGTGGAGGTGTTTGTCATGCTGGAGGTGTCTAGATGGTAGAGGTAGAGGTATATGGGGGGGGGGCACGGTAAACAGGTAGACACATCACGCAGCCAGGTGTGTTCACAGCTGGGTTTTCGTACACATACACACACACGCACACGTAAACATAGACACACGAACACACAAACAATAGCCACACGCCACATTCTGCTTATACCACACGCAAGAACAAAATCACGTGAGAATCTCAACTTACGGTCAGTCAGTTAAAAAACTTTTTCATCGTTTTCTTATTTTTGCCTCCTTATAATAAAATTTATTCCGCTTGAAAAAAAAGGGCTTATAATATGTATTATATTTATCATAGTAGCCCTAGATCCCGTACAGGTATGATAATCATGCCTCATGTTTTGTTTATCGATAGCCCAACTCCCTACCTCGATTATACCTGTGCATCGATGCGTGATACGGATATCATAAAAAGAACAGCTTCTTATAAATGAACTGATAAGATTTCTGTCCTCTTTCTCCAAATTTCTCTGTACTAAATTCTACATGTACACGTACTTTTACTAACAATTTTCGTCAGGTGTATGTTGATCTCGTCAAAAAATAAACAACTTAAAAAAGAACACGTTTAAGGAGAAATTTAAAAACTATGCTGGGAAAAAAAAACGGTTAAAAAACGGTTTAAAAAAGCTTAAGCCCGCATCGCGTGAGGGAAATAGCGCAACACTGACCGCGGCAGGCGTAAGCGTTGGCACCTGTCCTCGCTAGTTGTTTTTTTTCCCCTAGACTTATCCGCCCCTGTTGCCCGCCCCATCCATCAGTGCAAGTAGTTTTTTCCCCTGACAACGGCTGTTCAAACGAAGGAGAGAAAAAAAAGGGAGATAAAAAAAAAGTTGGGTTCAAGGTGCGGCCACGGTGAGTTATGTACCGGTGTAGGCTGAAAAAAGACGCCATTTTAAGATAAACAAGTAGATGTAGGTCTAATATTTTATACGGAGAGCTAACAGTATTACCACTAGTAATTTGATTTATTTATTTTTATCTATAAAGGGAAAATATTATATAATTCATCCTATAATAATAAGTAAATCATAAAATGGTTAATTGAATTAATAAAAAGACTGATTTTTATTATAACTTGATTGTTATTCCCTTGCATATTATAAAACTAATACGGTATATTTGTGTACAACTGTTAAAGCATCTTGTTAGCATAAATAAATTTAAAAAATGTTCATTTAAAAAAAAAAAAAGCATCTTGTTAGCATGGGCACACTGCTTGGATTCATTACCCTCTGTGTCTGTATTTATAGATCTTGGGAGATTGGAAGATTGATAGAAAAAAAAATGCTTATGGAGGTACATGGCGTGCAAGAAATAAAACATGCATGACTCATTCTTTACCCATAATTCTGGAGTGGGGATATTAAAATTGTGCATGGGGAAAAAAACGGAACAAATTAAAACAAAACTGGTTGGGGGTGGGGGTGGGAGAGAGCGAAACAAAAATAGATCGCGTTACATCAGCAGAGGCTAATGTCATTGCTCGTCTGGGTTAGGGGAGATAATTTGTTCTCTCCCTTTCACATGACGCAATCAGTCAGGTGGGGGTTTTTCTCACTCAGAAAAAAAAAATGGTAGTTTCTCTTTTTTATTGAGGATCAGAAAAAATGGTAGTTTCTTTTTTTTATTGAGAACCAGAACAATCGTAATATAGAATCTAGAGTACATGCTACATGATTCCTTCATTATTCCACTTATTACTTTACATACTTCATTATTAAATGTATTACATTAAAACACATACATACGATTTTAAAGGATCACAACTCAACACCAATTCAACATTCCGAGAAATTATTAACTTTTCAAAAGTTGTATGTCTTTTACTAATTATTGTTATAACTGTGAATAGTAATTGTTGTAACTTGAAGGGCGGATAGGAGTTACAATGTAAAATGGGTAAAGTTACTTTGATGTTAAATTAGAAACTGCAAAATTACGTTTTTTAAGATGGTTTTTTAAAATGCTTAGTTTAAGCTTAGGGTGAGTATTAGGGTGCGGTTAAGGATTGTTTTTTTTGTGATGACACATCGATTTATCGAATGATTGCGTTAGTCGTTTGGTAGCTTAAATCTATTAAACTCTGGCCTAATGATTAAGAAAGTTAATGTATTTCAAATACACGGGTATTACACCACACAGAAATACACTGGCGCTACAAATACACATTAAAATTCAATAGTGTGTGGGAATAAAAAAAAACAAAACAACAACGTTCAAAGGAGGTACTAAAGTTACTGCAGTAGAATTCGTAGTCGTGGGGGAAAAAAAAGTCAACGGTTAATATTAGCTTCTGACGTCACTGGAGAGCTTTCTAGATGTAAAATTTTTCTTTTAGAAAACAAGTGTATTACCATAGCAACCGACTAAAATATGAACTGGTCGTGTTTGAGAATTTAAAAAAAAAACGGAAGGAAAGAATTTATAAGCTAAATCAGCTTAAGTTGGGGATAGTGTAAGTATGGGCAGGAGAAAGATTATTTTTATAATTAAATTTTAAACAATTGCATTAGACACAAAATTTAATGTTTGGAAAACCTAAGGATGTTTTTTTTAATAACCGGATGGTAAAGATTCTAAAACAATGGTAAAGATTTTAATGGTGAACAACTATTTTCTTTACTTCAAGCTTTTTATAAACTTCGGTTATGATAACATTAGTTTTTTTCCCCCCGATCCAGCTTATATTAGCTTTGTTGTATAATATTAAAATAAAGTTACTTAATCGTAACAGAAATGGACTTAGAATGAGGGTTTTAAGTTAGGCTAATTAAAATATTAACTTGGTATATGAGACTTCGTAAAAACGCGCATGCGTACAGCCCGCTTATTACACAAAACAGTTGGGAGAAAATATTTTTTTGAATCTAATTAATTAAACGGCGTCTTCTGATTTAAAGTCAAGGAGAATACAGTCAGGTGACCGACAAGGTTAGCAGACGATTCGGTTGTTGAGTTGAGCCACGTTTGACTGTACCGCCCACTTCCAATAAACGTTCGGTTTGAATTAATTTGTTAGACAAATACATTAACCAGAGTGCAATGCCCTGAATTAGCACACACACACGCACACAAACACACAGAGACCAATTCCTTTCACACGTCTTTACAACCCTTCTCCATTGAGTTTTTTGCGCACCAAGTTTCACACGGTGCGCAGTGATGTCTTAACAAAAAAAAACATCTTTCCCTGTTCCCACCATCAAGGCTTAAAAAAGAACTAAGACACCACACCGGTAAAAAAGTAGCTACTGTGACCCCCTGACCCCTAACAGACAGCCAGCGGTTCTCAACCCTCCCCCTCCCTCCTCCTCCCAGCAGCCATAGTGCAGCGCAGCAATCAACTTCCGCCATGAAAAACGTTTTTTGTGTGTGCACATTATTTTTTGCGGTGTTTGTCTCTAAGTCCCGTCCCCATAACCCGACTCCCCGCCCCCTCGCCCCTGTTCCCACAACCTTCCGTTATAGGTGAAACCAATAGAGCCATCACATCCCCTGGTGTTAATTGTAAAAAAAAAAAATAATTACTATTCTTCTATAGTCGACGGGGGTCGTGTTTCATCGTTGAGAACTTGCCAGTATCAATGAGAATTTATTTTTAGGTTCTACCCGATTAGCCGTACCCAAAAAATATATTATGGGTATCAACATGCATATTTTTTTCTCACACAATAAATATATATATTACCCTCATATAGCTGTTATATTAAAAAATAAACACGGTAGGTAACTCCGTAAATTGGGCTTAGGTTAAGAACAGCTACACATATCTTTGTGATGATTAATGTATTAGGGTTAAGTTAGGGCTATGCTTAACTTTAAATGCATTTAACTATTAGCAATAATGGATAAATGCATACACACGCATTTATCCATAATGGTTATTGTTTGACGTATTAAAAAATTAAAAACAATCTGACAAGAACAGATACTGTAAACACGATATTTCTTGAATTTAAAAAAATCGAATCAAACTCGGCAGGAAATCTGTCAACAAAACCGGCAGACGTTCTTCTCTCCCTTACAATAGTCAGCAGACGTTTACGGCGTGAATTACGTCATTGTCTCCTGTCAGCGCATCACCCACTGTGCGCGTGCACTTTATTGGGAGCCGGCGAGCAGGGGCGGGCGAGAGATGGCCAGATTTAGATAACATTTCCAGCCAAAGCTTGTCGAGTTCAATTTGCGTAATACTAAACGATAAAAATAGCGCCGCCGACTATTTTTAGAATAGCCGTGACGTAGACGTATTCACATTACACGAATGTATTTTTAAATAATAATAATGCTGTATTACAAAAATAAACACTTTACATTTTTGTTGCTTGAAGTATTAGCTACCCGTGTAGGCTATCGAAGTAGAAGCTAGACAATAATAATAAAAAAACTGAAAGTAATAAGACGTCCTCTCCCCCCCCCCCCCACCCCATCATAGCCTCCTACACCTGAAATGGAACAAATTGTTCTACGTCATGACCAAATTGATCATGATCTACATTTGGCTGAGAAAAAAACAATCACGCACAATGGGAGAAAAGAAAAAAAAATCAGGTATATTAAACTTTGTCTCTCTGTGTATTTGACAGCTAATCAGTTTACGCGCCCTGCTATTGAAAAACATGCACTCTACTTCACCTATCGAAAAAAGATGCGCTCTACTTCACCTGTCTATACAATACATATGGGTGTAATCAGGCCGGCTTATTTCTTCAGTTTCAAGCAAGTGTACACTTTTTGCTTTCGTTGCTAAGGTGCCCAAAGGTGACATATTCTACACTGTACGGATGTGTACAATCCAACATATATAGCTATAATACTGGGTGGTTTTTTTAAAGGAGTAGAGCGGATGGGGTTGGAAGGGGGTGGTTGGGGGGTGGCTATCCATGTCCTAAATTCCCCTATCTGAACACAT